GCACTGTTCTAATTCTCCCTGAACATACGTGTACACCAAGAATAGCACTGTTCTATATCTTCTACGTTAAAAAAAAAACAAGAAGCAAGATTATTGTGGCCTAGCTTTAAACTCACGACAGAAGACGATGGGTCATAACGGAGGGAAAAGTTCGAGTCCATGCCCATTGAGTCGACAGAATAGAGCCCAAACCATGTGCCCAATTAGCATATCCCTGACCTCAGATGGAGGGTTCCTGCCAGAAAATATATTCGTGAACGGAAAGCTGTGAAAGAGACAATTTAAAAAAAAAAGGGGGGGGGAGTTACTACCGTTTCATTGAAAGTAGGGAAGTCATAGCCTAAGACCGCACTAGTTGTAGAGAGACAGTGACTAAGAAAGCGATGGACAGCGAGAAGACATGTGTCTCAGCTCTTGAAGAAAAGCGTGCCACACGGAAAATGGCCAGCTCCTCTATCACCAAATCGAACGCCACTTTGACCTGCAATATATGTGGACGGGAGTGTCTCTCCAAAATAGGGCCCCGCAGTGGCCCACAGCCATATGAAAAAGTGTTCGAGATGAACCATAGTCGTTCTACGACTGAAGGAGGCCAATGAATTGAAAGTAGACAGACAAAAAACATGGGGGAAGGGTCATTGGTCAAAAAAGAAATGATACCGTGGACATAAATTAACGAGAGTAGCCGCTGTTGAAAACGAGTTATGTATTTTTCAAGCAATAATATATATATATATATATATATATGGCTCCTTTTGTCTCGAAAGGCAATGGATGCGCCCAAATGATTCACTGGTTTTGGCTTAATCTTGAGACGGGGAAGAACCTGGTGTGGCTAATCAAGCCAATTCTAGAACGCAGACTTTGCCACAATTCGTACATGTGTATGCCTCTGATTCAGGGCTAGCGGACAGGGCAGCTTTCTTTTTTTCCCTCTTGATTAAGGCCGCTTCAATTCTTTTGTTCTCAGCAAGGGTTGTCCCAGCACTCACAGTCTGTCTCCAAGTACTCCGGTCTTTGGCTATGTTTTCCCACATACTTTCGCTGATGCCTGTGGCTCTCATGTCTCGCTTGCTGACATCTCTATATGTTAGTCTTGGGTAGCCCTTGGGTCTGACTCTTTCCACAAGCAATAATACACACAATAATACACATAATAATACACATAATAATTCAAATTCATGAATACATTCACAAAAGTAGACTTAACATAAAGACTGAAACTTATTAGTTTAATGGACCCTGATAGAAGCACGACTCCTCTATCCATAGATCTCCCACATTCAGCTACAAAACGAAAGTTCCCTAATTTTCTTGTAGCCAAACCAACCTGGGCATGCTACCCTGCCTTATAGTGGCGCCCGGGTGGAAACGATCGTAAGAGGAAACGATTAGGCTAAAGGGAAGCAAAACAAGACTCCCGTGGGGGTGCCTAAGGGGTGCGAGAGCATCCTCATTGCACTGTGCGGAGTTGTAAAAAAGCCCCCACAACCTTGTCACAATCCATGCGCTGTTCCTCAAGGGGCCGTTACATAAATGGCGTGTCCCGCACAGTTAGCCTGGTATAGAAAAGGAAAATGGCGGGGGTCTTAGTGTACGCGGTCTTTCACTTTTGCTGGCCTAGAGTTCCAAGAGCCGAAGGCTCAACTCTACCTGACAGTTTAAGAAGAAGAAGAAGAAGAAAGTAGCCAAACCGATGATGTTCCTTTAAATGGTCCTTTTTTGGTGGAACTAGAAGGAACTAGAATCCAAAGTCTGAGAAACTTCATGTTTACATTTCTGTCATTTTTTGTGGCAACCAGAAAGTAACCATCACATGACAGTAGACAAAAAAAAAGGAGACGGTGTTTTTAAAGTTGCACAAAGTTCTTTACTGAAACATAAACTGCACTTCAAGAACTTCAATGGTCACGTGCCACGCCAGGCTCCACACCCGCCTCGTCACACCTGACTTCATCAACAATATTAACAGTCCTGAGGTATATATTAGACAAACGATGGCTCTATTTCAACTGTATACCTCTCAACAGAACCAACGAACATTATAAATACACTACACATTGGAGCTTTAGTGAGTAGGTGGCAGTCAAGTCGTAATATGTATGCGTCATCCATTGTTTCAATGATTCACTTTTGTAGTCATATCATCATGAACAACACCAAGTAACCTAAATAGTTGCACAACTTTCAGTGCTTTGACAATATGGAGTCACTACAATGTAGACTACTTTTATTTTTTCTGAATTTAGTTGGGAGGGTATCTTTATTACTACAATTCCCCCCCCCCCCCCCCCACATTATGTGCTTTCTTCAAGAGGTTCGAACAGGACAAAGCCCCCTTACAGAAAGAAAACTATATGGAGAGCTGCCTGATTTGGAAACCACTGCGCAGTTCATCTCATGTATTGGTCTAGTCATCTGAACACTCCAACATAACAGTGAGAACGAGTAAGAAGAAGAAGAATGTGCTTTCTTAAATAATGTTAACAACTTAGAAATGGGAAAGACGGGAAGAACGCTAACTCTCTGGACACGTTTTTTTCTTTCCCTTGTTCACACCAACGTTCTTAAAAATAGTAACTTTCACCACCTTGTTACTACACAACATTTATATTATAAATCTTATCTTATACATTCCAGACGCTCCTTAAATGACAAACATAATTAGAATCCCGTGCTACAAGTATCCACTAAATGTATGTACATAATTACATTTCAAAGAAAAGAAAACAGATGTGGATTCAAGTCATTGATTGATTTCCTTTGGGTGGGAACCCACTACGAGATGGTTTAATTAAATATGTATTTATACTCTAACCTAGAGGATGTGTTGCTGGCGGGGAGTGAGGGGGGGGGGGGGAGTCAGAGAATTCCCTTTTGCAGTGGACAGAGATGAAGTAGTTGGTTCTTCAATATCTGACCACGGGGGATAATGGGACTCTTTAGTTAGGAATAGTACTTTTGGCGAGGGTGGACAAAGGATGTACACATTTTAAGTCCTGGCTTGAGAGTGGCCAAGTCTTAATAGCTTAGGGTTCAAGTTGACCAGTCACTGTGACTTTAGATGTAAGAGTTTTTTTATTTATTTAGTTTTGGTGGTGGTGGTGTCTTGATTGTTCTGGTAAAGAGTTATACTATCTTTCTTTTTTTCTCTCTTCTTCCTTCTCTCTCTCTTTCTCTCTCCCCCCCCCTCCCCCCCTCCCCCCTCCCCCCCCCCTCCCCCCCCACCGTTTCTCTTTCCGTCTCTCTTTTTCTCTTCCTTTCCCTAACTATTTCAAATATGAAATTTGTAACTTTACAGGCAGGAAAAAAAAAAGTCTTAACTTTTTAAAAGAAAAATTAAAACAAAATACTGACATTCTTGACGAATGGCGAAAGCGGCACACCGGGTGGTAGATAGGGCGGCAGCGCAAGGAGCCGCCTTCCAAAGAGCCCAAGCGAGTCATGCTTTAAGAGGTTGAAATGACTCCAGAGTCTGGAAGTGGTCGCATTTTCTGTATCCAGCATGTCTAGCTCACGAATACAGATTAGGGTTAAGTTTAAGCCCGCGACAAAGGCTGCCTCCAGCTGCTTGTAACTCCGCCACTAACACACAAAAAAAACAACAACAAAAAAACTCCGACATTTCTTTATTTGCTTAGAATAGTTATTTCCCTTGAAGAGATGCGGTCCCCAAGAAAACTTTTATATCCAAACTAGTCGAGCCACGGTGTAGCATACGCCACTATTTTGCAGGGCCGGCCTTAGGCCACTGCAACCTATGCGACCACAGTGGGCTGCGCACTTCGTTGGACCCGCGCTAATTCTTGGTGTAAATTATTTAATTAAACCATTTTATAGCTTATAACAGATTTCCTGATTTACCAGGAGCTCCTGGAAATCTCCTGAAATTGCAAAATATACGAAAAAGTACTGTAAATCTCCGAAATTACTAAAATCTTTTGAAAACTCATACAAATCTCCTGAAATATATAAGCAAAAATTGTCATTTTGGGGTGTCATTCAAAATGGAAAACACCAATCTTAAGCGCGACAAAAAAAAAAACGGCATTATGCAATACCCGTAATAGTGGAGTCTGGGGAAAGAAGCTTCTCGCGCCTCAAACTAATGAAGAATTACTTGAGCTCAACAATTCTCAAAGATAGATTGAAATATTTGGTTATTCTTGCTATTAAGCGTGATCTATGTAGGAAATAGAATTTTTATGATATACTGACTTTGCTAAGTAATTCTGTACGTAGTAAAGAATGAATAGAATTCAAAGACGAATTTATTTTGTAATACAAACACTTAATTTTCACGTATTATCTGTATCCCTACCCAAATTTGGCCCGCAAAATCCGGTTAAGTCCGGCCCTGCTATTTAGTGACGGGTGAATACAGAGTAGTTACTTGTTCTCCCTTCCCCCCCCCCCCCTCCCATGTCTTTTATTTTTCGCCGCTTAAGTTACGTGGGGCAGAAATAAATAAAAGAGTGATTTTTCCATGACATCTAGGTCACAATGGTTAAGTCGGCCCTGATATTTAGTGACGGGCATATACTACTTGTTCCCCCCCCCCCTCGTTTTTTCGTGGGGTAACTGTAATCCGATATACAGAAATAAAAGTGTGATCTTTCCTTTACTTCTTGGTGTCCAAATTGTTGAGCCATGAAGAGAAGTATATATAGAGATGTTTAGATTTTACATCGCTCCACCTTCAATGATTGCCTCCCTTGTTCTAGGTTTAGCCTTTCTAATTGAATATTCTGTTATCCACTGCGGACATGTCTACAGACATTCCTATGACCAGAGTGACGTCACTGGAGGGATTTTGGTGACAGAGCACTTAACCTAATGGACATTGTTTTCGACAGCAACTTTCTTGTCTACCCACGCGCCTCCTCCTACGCCCATGTCACAGAACAAAATGCCCAAACTCGGACCACGTTTTGCACAGCCCACTGTCTGATAGGAATCTATTTCGCTAGGATTCGAGAGAACCACGATCCCAGATGTGGACACCACTACATAGAAGACGAGACAGTCGAACACATCCTCAACGACTGCAGGGTGCTCAGAAACGAGTTTGAAGATACGACTAGTCTTGTAATCGATAGTATTTAATTTTTTTCAAACTTCGACCTTGACGGCCTTACGTTACGTGAAAGACCACAATCTAATTATTCAGAAAGACCTAAAGATGGAGGCGAGCTTCTTACCTAATGCCAGTAGAACATGGATTGAGTTGCTTGAGTCAGCCAGAAAAACAAATAACTTAGTACTAGTAGAGTTTAAGTCTATAGTAAACATGCGCGCCTTGATTAAAACATGGGTCCATCAGTATCTTCTTTAGCAAAGGAACGTGTAACTTATTTTTTTTTTTTTTTTAACTTATAATGTAGGACAACCGGTTTGAGGTACCGGAAACAAATAAAGAAATTTAAAAAATTGCTTTAAAGGTTTAATTTAGGGAAAAAAAATTGGTCTCTTTGTTCGAGCACACTTTACTCCAGACAATCTGCGCAGTAGAAACATCATATGTTCTGAGAATGTCAAAATCAATCTTAGGTCGCGAAATGTTAAGCTGTTAATATTATCTTCACTTTTGAATCCATCGTCTGTAATACGTAAGTATGTCATATAATAGCAAGCACACAAGGACATAGAAAAGTCAAAGGAATTAAAGAAATACTTCAGACGTAGCCTTAAGCAAGGCCGGAAAAGCAAAAATATTCTTCAATTGCAAACAATCAGCGCTCTTGGCGACCTTGACGTTGCGTTTGAGTGTTATGTCGATTTACCAGGCAGCCATACAAAACAGATAGGCACTTCAGACAAACATGTACATCAGACCTCAGACAAACATGTACATCAGACTTCAGACAAACATGTACATCAGACTTCAGACAAACATGTACTGTATCATGTACATCTGGCTTCAGACAAACATGTACATTAGGCTTCAGACAAACATGTACATCAAACTTCATACAAACATGTACATCAAACTTCATAAAAACATGTACATTAGACTTCAGACAAACATGTACATCAGATTTCAGACAAACATGGACATCAGACTTCAGACAAACATGGACATCAGGCTTCAGACAAACATGTACATCAGACTTCAGACAAACATGTACATCAAACTTCTTCCCAACAAAATAAACTAACTGTTCAGTCCCAAATCTCACAGAGACTTTCAATATCAGTATAGTAGTATTCAATATATTAATTGTACCTCAAGATGTTATAGGATATTCTATTGTCTCTCAACTCAAATCTACTTAGTATTGCCATTTAGTCTCCACGTGTGTCTCTATTTTCTGTAGCCCTCACGTCCTGTTCTAAAATCGCAAATACAATTTAAAAATAAACTAATTGAAATTCCCCATTCTCTAAAAATAGTATCCTAGTTTATTGTACATTACATGTACCCATATAAACACCTTCCATAGCATGGGTACATGATGGAAGACAAATAACTTTCGTCTTGTTTCTATTCAGGGCCGGTCTTAGGCCACTGCAACCTATGCGGCCGCAGTGGGCCCCGCACTTTCATAGGCCCCGCGCGAATTCTTGGTGTAAATTATTAAATTAAAAGATTTTAACTTATTATTAAAGGGTTCCTAAAATTCTCCTGAAATTCTAAAATATACGAAAAAGTCATGAAAATCTCCTGAAATTTTAAAAATCATCTGAAAACTGATGCGCATCTCCTTAAAACATACAAAATTGTCATACTCGCGATTAAAAAAAAACGGCATTGTTTAGCTTTCATTTAGTAAAAAATATATATTTAATACGACGAATTTTAACCAAAACAAGAAGTTCAAATTCTTAATTTACTTTTATAGTCCCTGCATACAAATATAGATCTAAATCTATCTCGACCTCTTCAAAAAAAAAAAAGACAAAAGCGATATTGCTAGTCGATAGTAGGCCTAAATCTAAAAGGCAGATCTAAATGTTTATCGGCTTTTTGTGGGACAACTTACAATCTACTTTTGATGGCTCGTCAAGTGAATTGGACAGTGATTGGGTACTTAGTCAAGTATGAAGAACGTGCATGACTTTATTTTCTAATACCAAAACTTAATTACCACTTATTATCCTTAACACAACCCAGAATGGGCCCCACGCAATGCGTTTCTGAAAGAGTCCCGCAATCTCTAGAACCGGCCCTGTTTCTATTACACTTAATAGCAACAAGATGAAATAAAAACTGAGACACTGAGCTATTGATTACTGCGACAGAAACCATTTAGCGCAGAGCACAACAAACTCATAGAGCAGGCATGGCAAACATGCCAACCACGGGCCATTTGCGGATATCTTGATATCGTGTGTGGCCCGAAATTATAAAACTGTAATTAGGTCATTATTTAATTGAAGTTACATTATTTTGAAAGACAAAAAGATAATTGATTATGTGAACAACACAATTTAAAAAAAATAAATTGGTGACAAATTATCACTTCCTAGCTCAAACCTACTCCAGAACAAATGAATCTGACTGCGGGCGGGGTTCGAACCCGGGAAAATCATGACGACAGTCCATAGTTTATAGCCGAGCAGAGTTTAAAAAATCACTCAAAGAATTTTATGTATAGGTTTTAGTGTTAATTTCAAGATTCTTGAACAAGGGAAATAAGTTCAGTAGTAGAATGACTATAATCCATCTGGTAGAGCCCCCTCTTATGTGACGGCAGAGCTCTACTTTCTAGAAACATTCGGCCTACATACAACGTAAGTTACGGTGTAACTAGCTTTGATGGTAGAGGAACCCAGCCATTTTTCGTTTTGCGCGCTTTTCTTCCAGAGCTGAGTGGACAGTGCTTTTTAAAAATGTTCATAGCTTTCTTTGTCAACAGACGAGAATTACTTAATTGAAGTACAAAAGAGAGATGTCGTCCAGACAAATGTGAATATTTCGACTCCCTGGTAACCACGAGTGGTTAAGCGCTCAACCTAGGGATCTCGGGTTCGAATCCCGATGAGTACTGTGGTTTTGAATTTTTTAATGGGTTTCCGACATTAGTTGGGGAAAATAAGTGCGTTTGGTTGTTGTGCTGACCACATGACACGTGGTAAACAGCTGACTAAGGAAACATGTTCTTTACATTCCCTACCACCATAGATCGCAAGGTCTGAAAGCGGTACTCTAAAAAAATATATTTTTACAGACACCCACATTTTGAGATCCATTCACATTTTTTGTCAGTTCGTGACGGCCTTGAGCCACGACGATATCACGTACTATCTCGTTATATTATTATTGTCATTTCGTCTTCTAATTAACATGCTTAATAATTGATTTCGACCTCTATTGGCAGAAAAACAAATGGGAAGAACTTTGTTCTTTAAACAATATCTACCACTAATGTACAAGTTAGTTATTTCCCTTATTTGATATTTAAAAAATAAAAATACCAATAATTAATTGACTTATTAAGTATTTTTGTTTATTGATTTATGTTTTGTTAGTTACAATAAATACTTGTTTACAGTATCAACTTGATCGGAGAATGCGTGAGGGAGAAATAGCGTTAGCAATTTTTTAAGAGGACTAAACCCAACAAATTTAGACGTATCTGCGAATACTGAAGTATTAATTTCCCTTGTTGCTATTTTAAAAAAATGAATTACCATTAATTTATTGTCTAATTGGTTATTTATTTTAAAATTGATACATATTTTGTCTATTACATTGAATAATTGATTCAAGATTGGGTGTGGGAGAAATAACATGCATACATTTTTGACCAGACAGACAGAAAGAGTTTATAAAAGCTTTTTTTTTTAAAAAAAAAAGTTATTATCCATTTTCACCACACTTTGAAGCTTAAGTTAAACTACTTTTTTTTTCCCAATAAGATTCCTGTTGGCACATCGTGGCTACGGCGTTCAAACTGTCACATCCTGGGCAAAAGTAAAATTACTCTTCCAGGGTAGTGCAACGTTCAAACTGATAGATCCTAGACAAAAAAAGGCTCATCCTTGATAGTGCGACGATAAAAAAAATGCCCCGTTCTAGACCAGAAGTAAACAACTTCCGTATTTCAGCCGAGATTTGTCTGGTTAGTTTAGATTTGTCTGGTTAGTTTAGATTTGTCTGGTTAGTTAAGATTTGTCTGGTTAGTTTAGATTTGTCTGGTTAGTTTAGATTTGTCTGGTTAGTTTAGATTTGTCTGGTTAGTTTAGATTTGTCTGGTTAGTTTAGATTTGTCTGGTTAGTTTAGATTTGTCTGGTTAGTTTAGATTTGTTTATTTTAGACGTATTGTGTGTTTCTTCAGATTTGAACATAGTTACATCCTAGTGATCCTAGCCCCAACCTCAGACAGGACGGCGAAGGTAGCACTTGACCATGGGATTATTGAACGACAGTCCAGAGAGCACACCACACGATCAGGCAGCCATCCAGTTTATAATTGAATGTGCAACTCTCTTCCTACCTGATGAGTTTCAGTTTGTGATACATCTAGTCATGCTTTAAGCTAGAAAATGCTATTTTTATAAACCTCCTGCAAATTGAAGCGGGGACGGAAAATGATCGCATCTACACTTTGATGTTGATCAAAGCCATCGGCGTCCGGCATAAATAAATAACAACATGGCAATAACAACGTAGTCCGGGTAACCTGCGGTTACACTCAATTACCCAGCGATGAATCAAGTGGCATAACTCTGATTGATTTAAGTAGTGATCAGAGTTCTCTATTAACTCTTTCTGATTATCTCCCCTACCCCCCCCCCCCCTACGGCTAAATGCCCCCGGCTGATTACGAGGAAGCGGAAAGAGTTAGGGCGTAGACTTTAAGCTTTTCGCCTCACATGACCAGCACCACTAGTAATCTCTACCCCCTCTCCTTTTGTCCCCCTCATTCTTTACTAAGGGAAAAAATAGGGGGGGGGGGGGACAAATGACAAGGTTTGTCAGATAAGTAACGGGTAATGCTTACGTAGGCCTGGGCATTTCTCTGTCTCTCCGGTATAATAATTGTGTTCAGATAAGAGAAGGCTGACAAATAGTTTCACTGCAATTCTTGCCATGACGCGGCCTATTGCTGATAAGCTATTCAAAAGATTAATCACCTGTGAACTCAGGGGTGTCTCCAATGATGGATTAAGAATGTAATAATGAAACCCATTTTATTTTCTGTTCCCTATATCCACTAAAAAAAATCATTTTAGTTTGTGAAATAACATAGTAGTCTACTTTTAAAAAAAAGAGGGGTTAAGAGCTTGGCTTAAGAACCTAGGGCTCTGGGTTCGAATGTCGGTGAAAAATGGGATTTTGTATTTGAGTTTTTAAGGCGCCCAAGATTCAACCAAATTTTAACGGGTACCTGATTTTAGTTGGGGAAATAAAGGCGGTAGTTGTACTAGCCACTGCTGACCCTGCTCGTTAACGGTTGGTCAAAGAAATAGTTGACCTTAACATCAACTGCCGTATGTCTTTAAAGAAAACTTTACTTTTTTTTAACTTTCCATTTTAAAGGGACGTTTGTACAATATAAGATTAGAATTTTTATACGGTGGCGCCCAACACTTTATACCCTAGGTTTGTATACATTTCAGACATGCCTAATACGGGTCGCATAACTGAAAAAAAAGGTCAATTCCCATTGGAAAATTTCATACATGGCGGAAAAAGCTTTTTGGTGTATCCGGAGTTCAAAACATAAACTGTGTTGATAAGCTGTTTTTTTCTTTCATTTTAACAAATGTAAGAAAATTTTGGTACATTTTATAGCAGTGCAAAATCAAATATTCTAAGCTCTTCGTTTGTTGATTCAAATAATTTGAATATTGAGGAAGCATTAGAGACTTTCACTCTCAGACTTAATCTTCTTTAAAAAAATGAGCAACTAACTATCAGCGATTGAGAACTTTTGATACGAAGATCCACTGTAACACATTGAGATAGTGATGAAACCGTAGCTCAATGGACCTCATTCACCAATCGTAAACAAACAACATTTAGTCACGTGATAATATTGATAAAACAATGAAAAAAGCCATTGTGTATAAAAATTAGATTGTAATGTGTATAGAAGAGATAGAGAATCACGTGGCTAAATGTTGTTTGTTTACGATTGGTGAATGAGGTCCATTCTTTTGCAGTTAGTTGGCAACGGTTTGGCATTGTTTAGTTTCCCTTCTAATCTCTGATGGAGCCTAGCCTCTGAGTCCTGTATGTGTAGGTGGGCTGGATCGTCCCGGGACGTGGATAGGGTCTCACTGGTTTAAAATAAGTGGAATCGTATTTTGGGGTCTCATCTTGTTGCATGTAAATAAAATATCTGAATATCGCTTGAAAATAAATGAATGCATTTTTTACCTAGGCTATTGTAGAATGTGCCTTGGAAACAAGTTGTAGAATGAGTCTTGGAAACAGGTTGTAGTAAGCGTCTTGAACACAAGATAGATAAAAGTGCTAAATAAAGAGACCCAGGTC